ACAGGGATAGAAATACGAAATAGGGATCTTAATTACATTTGCATATGATTTATATTTGCTTGGAATCTGTTTGGGGTTGTTTTGTTGTTTTGCAATGAGGGTTGATTGTGTCTGTGTCTAGCGGTGGACGCCTGTTTTGATTGATTATGATTGAATGCGAGTTTTGGGAAGATAATTTTCTGTATTACGCAAAAGTACCTCAATGATTAACGGTCTCCAAGATTATTGGGTTACTTTAGTGGTCATTAGTTTTCAGTTCTCAGTATGATATAATTTTCATTTCCATGACTTGTCTTTGAGGTTTTTAGTCTAATAAGTATTTTTACAATGTTATGAAAATATTTAATTTTACTCTCTTTCATCTTTGACCTACTATTGGAATAGAAGTTTCTATACAAGTATCTGAAGTGGAATGTTCGAATGGTTTTCCTGATCGATTGCTGAATGACCACTTCTGTTTTACTTATAGTTCACTTAATGAACTAAGTCGTACCATTCTAGCCCCCTTGGCTACCTCCCAACTTCGGACAGTTACGAACAAAAAAACTTCGCTCAAAGTCGGTCAAAGTGCGATCAACTTTAGTTGGCCATTTTCTTTTAAAAAGTGACGTAATTTTATAATTAGTGACGATGAAAAAACAATGACAATCCGATTTTGTGGCGAAACTTCGGCTGGTAGAGTTTTATAAACTTGTTCTGAATTGTTCGAAAAGTGGTACTTTATTGGTATCAGTACTTTTGTGTTTGTGTCTTATGAAAGGGTTGATAATAAATGCTATTAGAAGCCTAATTATCTTAATAACCTTATGAATGCGAAAGTTTGTGTGTTTATGTTTTTTAATCATGTCAAAATTGCTGAAGGGATTGGAACGAAACTTGTAGTAGATAATGATCTGAAATAAAATATAATTATGCTACGTTTGTCGCGTTCGAAGCCGCTGGTACACGCTAGTGTTTAGTATAATTGAATAAATAGCAATGTGATTGTAACTAATGACTGATTTTTCAAAATCCAGTTACACAAATTTAGCTCATTGATTTAATAACTCAGTACATAAATTAAAGACTTAGAAATTTTAACTCATTTCAAAAGAATATTTCTAACAACATCATACAAATAGAGTCAAAAAAAAAAAATATTAAAACTCAAGATTTTTGTAAACTTGAAGGAATAAAACAATTAAACAGTTGTTAAGTTTCGAGACAGTAGAAAAACCTTGAAATGATACTAAAGTAAAAACTCCTTTTGAAGTTTAAACAAACCTTCATAAAATTCCACTTATTTCATGAACTTGAACGTAAAGGTATACTAAACTTGTAATACACCTTATAAATTAGATCCCTAATTTTTATGAAATAAAGTCTATTTTAAAAAAAAACGAATTGGAATTTGAAATTTAGAAACTGTCATATATGTGTGCGGCAGCACAATGAATGTGTATGTGGACTGCGCTCTCGCACAACCATTACTCACGAATAAATCAGTGGGGTATGAGCAGCGAGTAGTTACACTTGTATCCACGTGTCACACGCACATATCTATACAACAGTGGCGACGAGCGACCTACAATCGTTAAGACAATATCCTTTGATGAAAAATGGCACAGTCATTTTGTGGGGTTTTTATCAACTTTCGAACATAATGTCAACGATTGGAAGACGTACAAAGGTATTGTGACGCAAGTGTGGGAGAGCCATGCTTCGGCACGAATGGGTCGGCTCGACCGGAGTGATACCACGGCCTCACAGAAAACCGACGTGAAGCAACACTTGCGTTGTGTTTCGTCGTGTAAGTGACGTTACCGGCGGTCAAATTACCCTCCCCTTCCCCTATCTCCCCAATTCCTGAATCCCCAACGATCCTCAAACCCCTTATCCCCATAAGGCCGGTAACGCACTTGTAGTGCCTCTGATGTCCCAGGTGTCCATGGGCGACGCCGATTGCGTACCATCAGGTGATCCGTCTGCTCGTATACCGGCTTATGCCATAAAAAAATGGTTCAGGCAAATAACATCGATGCGGCGGGAACCAGGAGACAAGCCAAACTACTCAGAGCACCCAACAACAGTACCTACAAGTTGGCAGCAGATATAGCCCTGCCAAGCGACGTACAAGGGGTGCTATATGACGACCTTACGACGTTGTTGGATAACCATTTCACTCACAAAACGTTCCGGCTTCAGCGAGGGATACAACGCGAACGATCGCCCTGCTGTTACGACTACGCAGCTTCGTAACAGCAGGGCGAGATATCATCAAAAGTGTTATTTGTCTTATATTGTAATTATTTGCTTTTGACTGAGAAGTCCTATCATAAACCCCTACGAACATCTCATGGTAATCAAAACCCAACGATCAAAGATAGCCAATTTGAACCAATCACCCCAACCAATCCTAATAAGCCATGCATTTGACGTCAATATCAATATGGTTACCATTAAAATCTCAATTTCGGCAGCTTAACCCAAACATTCAGTTGGTTTATGTCCCTCTTTACATAATGACCTCGCTTCACGCACATTGAAGTCTATTCCTATTGAATAAACTCATTAGGGTCCCCATTCACCCGTGGTTCCCCGGACAAGTCCATATTCAATGGCTTTAATACATGGTGGGATCGATCGTTCTTTTTTCGAAGGGACGAAAACTAGTGGTTATTTTCGCAGTAAAAGGGGATTGGTTCACATTTTGCGGGAATTTGATGACCTGATTTCTTTTTTTTTTCATCTAATTGCATATTATAGGGTGTTACTTCGTATAACTGGTTCGTTATGCCTTGTGCATTTATGGAGAGGATTATATTATTACTAGCTGACCTGGCAAATGTTGTTTTGCTATATAAATAATTTCGTAGAAGAGTGATAATTAAGGATTGTATGTATTTTTGTATGTTATATCATAAAAAATAAAAATCAAAAATGTTGTCAAAAAATAAATTAGGGGTGGACTACCCCTAACATTTAGGAGAATGAAAAATAGATGTTGGCCGATTCTCATATATCTATGAGAATAGCCGGAATTTCCGGATAAGCACAATTTTTTTTATCAAAATCGGTCAATCCGTTCCGGAAGAGTATGGCAACGACACGCGACACGAGAACTGCGACACGAGAATTTTATTATATTATTAAAATGATTTTAAATAATATTTAGTGTTCTCTTAACCTTGTCCTGAAGAAAAATGTAGTTAAGGTTGCAAAGTCAAAGTAGTTCACACATGTACTATGCGCGATTCATAAATCCCAGTCGCCTTATATAACCGGGCATATTACTAGATTTTTTATTTTTATCTTAAAAGGCTTCATGCACACATTAATGTATAAGTAGTGGGGCTTAATGCCATGGGCATTCTCCTCCAGCCAGATCTTTGGGTGATACAGAGACAAAAACGATGGTCGATGCAAGGAGCAAGCGTAGTTAAGAACCAAGAGAAATCAATAAAAAAGGATAATATAGGGATTTATTTTATGTAAGTCTACTTATTGATTTCTTATATACTTACATGTATATGACACAACAATAAACTGCCCTACATAATTATGCTCCATTTACATTATTTAATTACCAAACGTACAGTTTTATTGTTAACATATCAGATTATATAACATAAACAATGTCTATTTTCGAAATCAATGTGAATTGGATATGATACCTAAGCATCATTTATATATTTCGTTGTAATTATTGAAATTTCACGCTTCCATCGATACACATTCCAAATAATGAATTCTTCCATAAAACACTGAACGAATGCAAATAATCATTTTATTAATTAAAATCCGTCAATTGTTTAATATTAAAACGTTCATCGAATGAATCTACTTCGATAGAACTCAATTTTATTAATTCATATTTACTCTGTATGGTTTAAAATTTTATTAAGTTTTCGGATTTCGTTGAAATCCATCCCCTAAATTTGGTCATACAAAAGTAGTCTCTAAACAATGGAAATAAAGTCTATAATGTAATGTAATATTAGGGGAGAGCGGTCACCGGTGACCGCTTGGGGATCTATGGGTTAATATTGCTAAATAGTTGTTCCTTGTAGTTCTGCTTGGAAAAATAATAATTAAATATGTTTGCACTAGAACTTTATAAATTAATTTTTTGGTAGGTACAATAACTAGTAGAGCATTTCTCAGTATATTTACGCGAGTACCTAACACATCATTCTCAAATTTTGTTTTATTTATTTTTAGTTATGGTTGTCCGTACCGTAGGACAAAGGCCTCCCTACCCTCCTCGTCATTCTTAGTTACCTAATTCTTTTTTGGTGTTTATAGTGAGCAAGTCTATTATCAAAATTTGTCGCGGAGGACCTAACGGGTTACCGGGGCTCCGGCTCGACGGGCAGGAGAAGGAACGGGGTGGTTTTTAGTCAGTAAGAGTCTGACGCTCCCTCGCGCCTCACCTAGGCGGGAGCAGTCTTTCGGTGATTTTCCCCCCTTAAAAAATGACAAAATTCCTTATTCCCAGAACTTAGAAACTCCATGAATTTTACCTAATTCAGTGATCAAATACTAAAACTAAAACTTGTTCCCCGTAATTAAATTCACATCAAATAAACTAATATGGCCGCTTTACCTGTAAAGCTAAAGCTTTATGACTAAAGATTTCTTTTATGTGATCATCAGTGTACGGAAAAATCCCCGCAACGTTTTCTAAAAACCCAAATCGCGTGATATACATGTATAAAACCTATTTACGAACTAAAAAGATAATAGCATGACTCGCATATTCTATTCATGTCATCCACAAAACAGTATCCTACCTTTACCGACCGCATAGTCACACTACATCCAACTAACACACTGAAAAACCAACCTTGACTACTTAAAAATAGAGTACAAAATCTATCGCGAGAATTGCTATCGTGGTGTAAGCTGGAAATTGACTTTAAATGTATGTTAATAAGGTTCATTTTTGTTCGCAGGCTGCCGTGTATACAGGGTGTTTTGAGCCGTGAAAGTGGGATTATGCATGGACACGTGAACTAGCGATGTCTGCGGCTTTCCTCTTCGCGGCGCTTGGCGCTTTGGCACTCGTCAGCCGCACAGGTGAGAAGGGGTCTTTATTTATGTGAAACCACGAAGTATTAGCACGGACAGTTAAGTCAGTGTAAGTCATATTGTTCCGTTACTTTCAAATGTGAAGTCTATTTTTATCTTGACACTGTTTGGGGTATAGTTACTCATGTAACATTACTTCATATCTTCAATGTAAACCGGGCACTATTTAAAACAACGTGGTGCTTTACTGAGAATCGACAAAACTTAAAAAACCTTTGCATGACCCGAAAGTTTAAACTCGGCGAGGATTCGATAGTCAGTCGCGAAGCACACTAGTTAATGATTAATAAAAATCATGTTTTATCATAACATAACAACATAACATCACGGCTTTTATCCCCGAAGGGGTATGCAGAGGTGCACATTATGCCACTGTACAATGTAACAACTACTTTATTTATGCTATGAGACCCATTTATAGTTGGTGAACCTATTGTCATATACCAAGCACAATTCCAGACTCCATGCTACAAATGAGAATTAAAACAAATACCTAATAATACTTTGCCCGACAAAAGAGGACCAACGAGACCAACGAAACACATTAGTTAATTAATCTAAATATTATTTTATCAAATGAACGAATTCACATATTCAAATATTATACGCAAATACACCGTGACACGGACAAATTAATATTCAGTGTGACATAAATACAAATGTTTATATCTATATACTAACTGAAATATTTTACATACATAACATCACGTTTTTTATCCACGAGGGGGATGCAGAGGTGCACACTATGCCACTGTACAATGTAACACCCACTTTTCACTATTTATGATGAGTCCCACGTAACAGGGGGTGAGCCTATTGCCATATACCGGGCACAATTCCAGACTCCGTCTATTGAGATTTTTTTAAAACTTAGTAATAATTTGCCCGCCCCGGGAATCGAACCTGAGACCCCTTGCCCGCGGCAGTCGCACTTGCGACCACTCGGCCAACGAGGCAGTGAAATATTTTGATACTTATATTTAACAGTTTTAGTCCACTGATTTCATGATTCATTCTAATTTGGCTTCTAAAATTCCCTTTTAAGATATCTAGTTTTCTTTATGTACACATAATATAACATACAACGAATGTATCTATATATTTAATTAAAAATTAAGCTAAATGAGTATTGCTAATTTCAATTTAAATCCTCAAACGCATCTTGTCAAAATCTCAAATCTATCCCGATACAATTCACAACACCACCCAACAAGCTACTTACACATTTTGAAACTTAAAACCAAAACAATAAAATTCAAAATATATCGATGAAAGACAGATTGGAGCATCAAGCAGCGTTATATGACGTCGTCAGTACATTACAATAAAGCATTTAGTTGATTACGTGAGCGTCTAAAACGCAGCTTACATAGACTTGAGACGTAATACTCCGTCTAAGCTCACCCAAATTCTTTGTCAGTCGTTAGCGGCATGAAATTGTCGTTTACTTAAGCTGTTCCTTGCCTGACCTCGTTTAAAGCCTTCAATAAACGAGCCTTTGTTATTGAGAAGACATTATTTCCCGGAAAACTGACATATTTTTCATCTCAAAAATCGTTTTCAATTCCCAACGGTGTTTCATTAAAGAAGGACGTTTGTTAATATGAAAGGCGGGATTAGGAGTCGACTAAGATAAGTGGTGAGCGATCGTTGATCAAGTGATGAATGAAAGTTTTTCTGCTCAAACGATTCGATTGATAATGTTTTCGATTTAAGCTAGGCTCGTCAGTTGAAATCTCTGAGCGTATTAAGGAATTGAATTTTCGTTTTTACTGATTATGTTCTATCTAGACTCTGAGATTGATATTACATTGTAATTGTATCTAAATGGAAAGTAAGTTATTTATTGGGTTGAAAAATTTTTTGACATAACGATGAATAGGTAGATAAATAAACAAATAAATAAACAAGTGAGACTTCATTTTATTTATGCGATTTACAAGAAAATAATAAAAATGAAACATGTGCATAAACACATGAAACAGCCTATAAATGCCCTGGGCCCTGCTGAGCAAAGCCACTTCTCACACGGAGAAGGTTTGAGCATCAATCACACCGCTTGCTCAATGTGGGTTGGCGATTACAAACTTATAATTAGAAATTATAAGCTGAGGTTTCCTCACGATGTTTTCGTTCACCGTTTGTCAGTAGTGTCTAGATAATCTTAGAAAGTACATATAACTCGGAAAAAGTCACATTGGTATTTGCCATTGCCGATGGTACGTTTCGAACTCGTACCCTCTAGCACGAGAAGCGGGTGTCTTAAACCTCCGGGCTACCAAGACTAATATGCACATATTTCACTGAATATCTTAAACAATTCTAATTCACACAAACAAGAAGTACGAAGTCATCTACGAACATACTTACACCTACATGTACATATACGGTAGGTAAGCAAGGGGTCTCAACACGGTTTCCGGAGCAAAGAGAGTGAGCATTTAGGGCGCTCACTTGAGAAGGGGAGCGATTAGCCCGAGGGCTTCGCAAATGACACCTATATCCTTACATTTAAGATTTTTATTCCCTACTGAAAATATAAATTTGAATAAGGTGCTGTGTAGGTTTTTGTCCGTTTTTCATTGACAATTTTATGACGTGATATATTTATAAGTTTAGTACCTAATAGTAGTTGATTCAATAATATAATTTATATTAGTTAACTGACATATCATAAACATCAGACATAGTAAAATGGCAGATCTAAATTTAGATTTCATTTTACTGCCAAGTCAACAACATGATCATAGTTTATTAAAAAGAGAAACGAATGGAGTTTCTTGTCCGTTCTTCTCCATTCGAATCTACATTTTGGAATGAGCACCTAGTTTCACCTAGCTTCACTAACGGACTGACTGACAGACTATTATTTATTTTGTAATTGTTGACGTTTCAAAAGTACCAAATTATGGTTTAATTGAAATAAATGCTTTGACTTTTAAATACTTTGAATCAAAATATCTAAAAACACTTTATGATAAACAGAATTAAGAACCTCCATTAACCATTTCATCACTTCACGAAAACAACTCACGAACGAATCGTCCAAAAATATCGATCCGTTCACGCATTGGGCAAGTATGGTCAGTTCCCAGTGGTCCCACTTCCAATTAGCAGAGCCAACATTATATCCATTGCTTATGAGCCCTCTATAACAATTCTCTTAATTAACTTTCTCATCACATTGGACTCTCCTTAACCTTGATCCCTTCGAAAGAATCGAAGGAACAGAACACAATCTTCAGGACATTTACTTAATAGTCTACGAGCTACTGAACTAAAATAAAGTTCGTGCTGCAAGGCTAGAAATTTGTAGGTGGATGATTTATAGCACGCTTAGACCAATAGTCACTCCCTGGCAATCATCAGCCCTGCGCATCATCACCTTATTTTAGCCATTATAACATGAACTCGCAAATCCTTTTGCAATTTCGACGGTCAATATATACTGGATAATAACTCCCTGATGTGTTGCCTACATAGTACAATCAGGTCGTCACTATATTGGCCTTGGTGCGCTTTAAATCACCACCCTACAAATTTCTAGCCTTACAGAACGAACTTGATTCGCAGGGTTCAATAGCTCTTAGACTAAGTCTCGTCGCCATCTTGTCGACCGCCATTTTGTATTTTTTCATCAAATCTAAAACGAGATTTTCCGAAACGACCGTTAATTTGACCGGGCCCTGATTAAAATGGATCATGGCATAATGTCATTTGAGTCTTTCGAATAATGTTGGGTAATCTTTCCGTTTTGTGATTTCTTCCGTATTTTTATAGTCACTAATTTTATTCCCGGTGGTACTGGTTGTGAATGTATTCGAATGGGAGCTTGTTGGCTAAGTATTACAATTCAAGTTAGGTACTTTATAAGTCTTTTCTTGAAAATAAGTCTTAGATAAGTCTTAAAACAAAAATAATACATAAAATTATCCCACAACACAGATTTTATATGACTGGCGTTTTTTACAAAAGGTTTATTATGCTACAACCAAAATATGCTGCCAACATAGTGAATAGGTAGACATTCTACAAAAGATAAAAGCCACGAAACTAATCATAGCGTGCACAATACACACACTATCCAAAAAAAATATTAACTGGAACCCAAGTTCTTCGCTAAAACTTCGCAGAAATTAGTTCCATAACTCAAAACAAACAATAGTTGTCTTTGGCAGCCATAATGTCATAATGTTACGAAGACTGTTCGCTAGATAGCAGCACTGTCTTCGATATTAAACTTTGTACACAATATTTATCGCGACGTCCTGACAATGTTGGTTCCTATTGTATTTTTAGTTTGTTATGTTGGCATCCTGTAGCACCGAATTCTTGTTTTATTCACCAAATAGAATAGAATTTTGAAATGTTCAAGGGAAATTGAATAGAACGTATATTGAACGTAATATTTCTTATTTATTTGATGCTTTATGTTCTGTGAAAAGACTTTATAAAAGTCGATGTCGTATAGTGTGTTATTTTTAACTCTATAAAAAAATCTAGTCATAGATACAACATAGTCAAAGCATTTATTTCAATTAAACCATAATTTGATACTTTTGAAACGTCAACAAATACAAAATAAATAATAGTCTGTCAGTCAGTCCGTCAGTGAAGCTAGGTGAAGCTAGGTGCTTATTCCAAAATGTAGATTCGAATGGAAAAGAACGAGCAAGAAACTCCATTCGTAACACTTTTTAAAAAAGTATGTTCTACAATGTCTCTGATACACATTCCAATACTGTACGTATATGTGAGAACAATGCAAAGACACGCTTGACGCATTATACTAATTACAAAACATACAAAATAAAAATAAAAAAGCAAAACAAAAACAAAATCTTATAGTCTAACATGGTGCTCACATATGCATACTAACAATCCATAAAAATAGTGCTTCTATGCAAGAAAAAGGAAACTCTTTGTTTCAATATAGAAAGAAATGCTTGAAATCTCAACGTAGAAGATAATTTCAAAAATATTGATTAGTCAATCTCAAACTAAAATAATAACAAAATGGCTGAAGGCACATTATAAAGGAGCCTTGTAGAATTGTACTAACATTTTCTATTTACTAGTTAAACATTATGTTAATCCATTGTCAAGAGATGTTCCTATATATGCTAACAATCAAATGCCATCCAATTTCATTACATCACAACTGATTTCTCATAGGAATACATATTATGTCTACTATATTTCTTACCAGTTACGATATCAGTTTTGATAATAAGACATGATCCAATTTCTGTGAGCACTGTCTGTATAATTCTGTATAGCGAGGATTATGTAATCATTTGTTACTATAGTTAGCTTTTGACATCGGTTTCACCTGCTTTACAAGGATATAATTGGGTAGTTATTAAAATGTAATGAAATAAGTATTAAAATTAAAAATCTAATTAGTTCGTCAGTTAGACAATGAAAAAATATTAGACACAAGGAGACCAGATGTGTTGGTCACAATGTAGTGCCCTGAGGAATCCCGCGAAGCTAATACTTTCTTCGACACGTATTTTTTATTTTCTCGTATTAAGTAGCAATACTTAAATAAAACCGCGCTAAGTTTAGAAGTGCGAGGTAGTTACGTCATAACGTGCAACAAAATGTGGCACGCTGTGACGTCACACGATATTTCAAATTAATATATCGTCGAAAGTATTTCATTTTGTGAGACAAGAAAAAATACGTGTCTAAAGTTTTAAATTAATATACCAGACGGACATTAAAATTAAATTTGAAGTCGATTAATTAATATACTAAATAACTTCTCCTTAGTGTAACATAAACTTTTCTGAAAATCCCGTCAAAATCAGTTCAGCCAATCGCGAGATAATTGCACACAAACAAACATACATATATAGAGGTGAAACTAGAAACCTCCTTCTTTTTTTGAAGTCGGTTAACAATGACTGCAAGGTTGGTGCGGTGGCTGGGCAACCGGCTACCGCGCAACCTGTCGCGGTTTCGATTCCCGCACAGAACAACTCCTTGTGTGATCGACAGATTGTCCCGAGTATGGGTGTCATGTGTATGTGAACTTGTATGTTTGTAAACGTACCTACGATACAGGAGAAAATCCTAGTATAGTTATTAAAAAAAATAAGGTATAATCAATGTAAAACTACTTATAAGAATTGAACTCACTATCTACATTATTATATCAAAAACTAGTTCATACAAGCTTATCATTAAAGAACAGAAAGAACTTCTTCGAATGAAATGCACAAAGTACATTATTCAAATAAATTAAAGCTTAAAATTCCTCGTCATTCGTTCACTAATAACCGAGACGCCTAATTAGCTCTTCACTAGCAGTTTGTGAAAGAGTTGACAAAGTACCACTAGGTACATTTAGTACCACTAGGTATACAAAGTACCACTGGGAACACTATCTGAGAGCGCTGCGTTCTTTCATTAAAATGTCATTTACATACTAAATTCAAATTTCTTTGTGTAACGAGCTAAGATTTAGAGCAGGAACGTGAACGAAATCAAATAATTAGGTAGGTACCTAAGTTCGAAAAATTTAGTCAGATGTTCTGAGTTCGATGTGCTTTGAATTTTATTTTGTTTAGATTGTATAAATTACATAATTTTGTATGGAAATAGACTTGTTTAATATTCTATAAGACTTAAATAACTATACATGTGTCTGCCTAACTTGTCGAAGGGTCATAAACGTGAGAGTCGTGTATAGGGTTGAGGATTCAAGGCTTTTTCTATAACCCAGTAATAGCACTAACTCTGAATTTTTTTCTAGTGTATGACAATAGCCTCACCCTCTATGAACATAGACCTCATTACATAACCAGTGACTAGATGACGCTATAGTGATCAACTAAAAAAAAATATCGAGAAAATTCTTCCTCGCATGCTCACATCACTACAACAATAAGTACTTACATAGTGGAGTTTGCAAAGAGTGTGCGAGTTCGACTCATCCTCGTAACTTAAGTGGCCCCCAACTTGACTTCTTGTTCGCCACGTGATGAGTTTTTATAAGCGACGCGCTGCGCTGCTTACATTTTGTTCTTTTTGTACATAAATGTTACTTTGTTAAGGCTTTGACTGTCAATAGAAAACTGTTGAAGGCAAATCCTCTGTTAACGTCGGTCACCGATGACCCCCATGGCATTTAATGTGTTCACGATATGTTTATATATAAATGTGTATAATTTTTTTCAGTAACTACGCGTCTGATATGAGTACGATACGATAATATAACATATTGCCTTTAAACTCTTTGTTGGAAGAGGGGTGTAGAATTTTCTTTTCGGGTCAAGCAAAGTATTGTTTTGAATTATATAATATCAGTATAAGCAAGAACGAATAGTGCTTTGTATATGGTAATAGGCTCACTCCATATTATGTGGGACTCACTACATTTGGTGAAAACTGTTCACCTCAAAGCTTATGGGTTATATTATGTCTGTCACCATATATGATTTAGTTTGTGAAATAATAATAAAGTGTCCATATTTATAAATTTTTGTGCTTACAGGGTGCACAGACAACACAAATGGCCTGAACACAGACGCTGTACAGGAGTTGGACTACACAGATGTAGACTTAGGATTGACACAAAGGGGACCTCGTTTCGATGTGCCACATTCCAAAAATGTGACAGCCCTAGTTGGGAAAACTGCACAACTGAACTGCAGGGTCCATGACCTTGGAAATAGGACGGTAAGTGCCTAGCAATATTTTGTTAAAAAAAGTCTTCTGACAATAGAATTTTAGGCCTGGTACTAAGAAGTTTCCCAGTTTTGCTGTTGAGATCTAATCCTACTGAAGTTCCACTTTCTACTACGAAATGAAACTATGTGAATACATCACAGAAGAATTATTTGCTTTTAATTTTTCCACGACTGTCGTAAAAGTTCACCAAGGTTAACTCTTCACATTTGACGTAGATCAAGGAGCACCTCAATATTTTTAATTACAATGTCTTTCTCACCTGCTCAGAGTAGAGTATAGATTATGGCAAACCTTCTTAGCCCGTAATCCACTGATGATATATGTACTAAGAGGGATTTTCAGGCTCATATGAGGTTGTGATATCACTCTTATCAACGAGAACATTGTCGATACCTTATACTTGAATATTTTGTTCCCAGGTATCATGGATTCGACATCGTGACATTCATTTGCTGACGTCAGGCAGAATGACGTACACCTCAGACCAGAGGTTCATCAGTGTACACAACCCTCACACTGAGGATTGGATACTGAAGGTATGTAGAATGATATGATGATGGCTTCAGTTCTAAACTTAACTATTTATCGATATTGGGTATTATAGTTTTCGTAAGTAGATAAAACAAAGGAAGCGTACCAGATTCATTATGAGTATTTGACGTTCATTTTTATTTGTTTCTTTGTTAGATTAAATATCTTATATAATCTGCAATGCAATAACAAATGGATAGAGAACAAGAATTCAAAAGGAAATTATTTCTTCCTCGTATGCTCTATATTATTTATTGTTATCGTCATTGATTTTGATTTATCTAATGATACACAATTCTTGGAGATATCTAGATTTCCAGTTATACGTTCCACAAAAACCTATTACACATTAAACAGAATATTAAAACACAAACATCAAATATTACACAATGAGTTCACTGAATCAATTACATCCCCATTTTCTGTTAAATTGTCACGCAGAAATTTTCACGAAAAATGTCTCCCATATTGAATCCATTACTGGATATTGTCGCAAAATTTCTTTGGGAATACCGTCTGTCTTTATACTTAGTCAATGTTTGAACAACATTGTTATATGAGATGGCATATTCTGTAGCCACAATCCGTGAGATATGGAGTGTGTAATGCGAATGGTAACGTAAGGATGATCTCACACTTCCATTTTTAATATTTATATTTATGAAGTGTATTTTTTGTGGTTCAATTTCAGTGATATAACATAATGTTGAGGTTATTTATCTCAAAGGTTTTAGTACTCTAATCTGTAAAAAATATTCAATGGATTTTAGACTTCATGTCAATGCAATAATGTTGAAGATGTTATAGAAAAATTTGTCAGAGAAGGATACGTTGATGTGCTGGCCACTGTAAATTTCCTTTCAACTAAAAATCGCGGGTTACTCACGTGAATATACTGAAAAAAGCTAGTTTCGAATCACAGAGGGGTGATCCTCATGAGCAGCGTGCGCGGTCACAGCAGCTAGGCGGCAGAGGAGGCTGCGCGACATAGCCGCGACCGCGCACGCCGCTCATAAGGAAGAACCCCTCTGTGGTTTACGATAGTTGTTACAAAAATTTACTTTTCTTCATGCTTACATACCCCATTTCTTTTACCAACGAACTGATTAGTTTTTTAAAATACCAAACTCATGATAAATCAATGCATAAGCCTTGGAATAGCTTAGTTTTAAAAAACTTTACGACTAAAACTATATGGACTAGTCTATTAACTCGTTCGACTAGTTTTAATTACAACATTTATCCAGGCTAATATCAGATCATCTGTTAACTAAACTTATCCAATTTTCAATGATTATAATCTACAAGAGCAATCAACTCGTGTATGTTCTAACCCTTTGATAATTCTGACTTCATATATGACGTCATTTGACCTTGAATATAACAATATTTATTTTCAAACGACCCTGTGATTATAAGACCATATTATATCTATAAGGCCATTAATTAAGATGTAAGCAATTATAATTTGGTTCTGTTTCTTCGTTGCTAGCAAACTACTCGTGTCTCTTATTATTTTTGACCTTGAACTTTTAGTATAAGAGGGGACTTACGCTTCAATAGTTTCGCGTCGAAATTTGGCCTTTAGAAATTAATATAATAATATAAGATAGTACATGTTTCTTTTATAAATCTTAGGTACCTATTTGTGATATCTTCAATTTAGTTAATATTAAAATAATTCATAATGAAAATGGAACCGAAAAAAGTGTGGTATTGATTTATGAAGATGAGAATTTATCTTATGAAGTATCAATTTAACGACTATTAATTATATAACTATACATGATAGGTACCATTTCCTATCTATTGGGATATTAATAAGTTTCTTTTTTATACAAACCAACAACTGCCTCGTTGGCCGAGTGATCGCAAGTGCCGCTGGGCAAGGGGTCTCGGGTTCGATTCCCGGGTCGTACAAAATATATCTGAGTTTAAAAAAATCTCAGTAGTAGTACGGATTCTGGAATTGTGTCCAGTATATGGCAATAAACTGGCCCCATATTACATGGGACCCATAACATAAATAGTGCAAAGTGGGAATACATTGTACAGTGGCATTGAGTGCCGTAATGTGCACCTTTGTCTACCCCTCTGGGGATAAAAGGCGTGATATTCCAACAACAAACAACAGAACTTATTACCCAATATTCATTCTTTGGCAATTAAAATGTTCACCCAAACGACCTGACTGAAAATGCTTATCGTGGTTACTGAAACTCATATTTTTACAGATAAGGTTTCCACAACGTCGCGACTCCGGCATTTACGAGTGCCAAGTCGGTACAACGCCACCTATCGGCCACAGGATGTACCTCTCAGTCGTCGGTAAGTATAAGATTAACTTTATTTATTTTGCTTTTTATTTATTTCTGAAAACAAACAGTGACATATTACATGATACATCATAATGATACAATACAATCATAGGTAGTGCGAAGAAATGTGTAACTAACCGTTTTGCACAGAAAATAAATGAAATCATGAACACCGTCATACCAATATATATAACTAATAAAAAATCACTACATAGTATAAAACAAAGTCGCTATCCGCCGTCTGTCTATCCATATGTATGCTCAGATCTTTAAACTATGCAACGGATTGATGCGGTTTCTTTAATAGATAGAGTTATTCTTAAGGAACTTTTATATGTATAATACATGCATATTGCACCAGTGCGAAGCCGGGGCGGGTCGCTAAAAAAAAACATAAATTACATTTTTTTACAACTACTTGTAAGTTTACTACTGAACTAAAAATTCAAAGATAACTGGGTATTCTAATTTACTTTTCTACTGTTTATTTGTCAGTTTCGGCGTTTATCAGAAAAGGGTTCCATTTCTTTCTATACTTAAAAGTGTACTGTATCTCTAATCCTGTGTTTTGAATAGCCTAGTCTCACTTACAAACAGACGGCTGTACAATTCAATTTTAGGCTTTTGAAAGCCTATTTAAATCGAACTTAATTAAATATTAAGGCTTTGACTGCCAATAGAAAACTGTTAAAGACAAATCCTCCGCTAACGTCGGTGACCGGTGACCCCCATGGCGTTTAATGTGTTAATTGCTGCAAAAATGCTTTAACCTTGACCTTGACTTTGATTTTGAATTTGACTTTAATTTATTAATATTACATGAATGGACTCCTAAATACCCTGACAGTAATGATAAAAAAGTAATTCCAATTGATTTGCAATGTTAATACTGAATTTATTATTCTGAAACTTGAATAAAAAAGAAACATTTTCTCGTAGTAATAATTTTTAAGCATATTCTACGTAACCTCATTAAAATCAAAAGAAGCTTTGCATGCACTTAGTCTGTCATGTTTTCGCAACCTCCACATTAAATAAGATGAGCTGTTTAATTCATTCATTTCAAAAACATTTTTAAATAATTAAATTAAAAGCAACGCTTCCGAATTGAGGATATAAAAAGCAAAGTTTTGAGAAATGACTAAAAAGCAAATAGTAAATAATAGACATAATGATAATATTTTGGCAAAGCAATGCATAATATAAAAGCAACCACGATCATATAAAACAAACGACTTAGATCCAGCACTGACCCTAATTTACTTGGAAAATATCCAGCAAAAAGAAGATACAAAACAGCAAAGAAACAACAGAAAGGAACATTTGTTTTCTAATTTGCAGAACGCCTAAACATTCGCCTAAAGGGATACGAATGAAAATCACAAATTCGAAATAAAAGTAAAAGAATTTCTAGCGACACAGGATTAGGGCATTATTTATGAGAACCTCCAGGCTTAGCTTTAAAAAAAATAAGACAAATTTCCTTACAAAGAAAAATCTAAGGGCACGTTGTTTATTTAGTGTCAAAGTATTTTTACGGAAGGCAAAAACGAATTCATTACTAACATAAAATTGTTGATAAGCTCGTTCTATCCCCAGCACGATATTAAGATGACAAGCAAAATTTCTTAATTTTATAAAGGTGACAATATATAAATTTTCTTTCCTTGTTTTCTTTCTGATCCCATGGAGGGCTAAACGTAAATATTGCTTAATTCTTTGTTTATACACGTTTCTTTTGACATTCATTAACGCTAATGAATCTAACGCTGAAAGATGATCTTTTTAAAATGTTTTTGTTGAATGGGAATGTCATTATGACTGCCTCGATGGTCGAGTGGTCAAAAGTGCTTCTGCTTAATACCAACGGGGGTAGTTACTGAATTTGTGACTTCAAAATTTTGGTGATCATGTAGCGAGATGACAAACATTTTTAAGATGTTTTTTTTTTATAATACCTACGTTCCCCCACATTAGGATTTAAACCCGTATCGTCGGTGCTTTTACAAACATACAAGTTCACATAGGTACACAATGACACCCAGACCCAAAACAACAATTTTTGGATTTTCGAACCCGCGACACGTTGCACGGCACCCGGTTGCCCAGCCACTGCACCAACCGCAAATTTTACATGCGAGGCAAATTTTACTATGTCTTCTGCTCCAAATAGGTATAATTACATAATCAAGCAGCTCCTATTTACATTGACTGAAAATTTTGATTAGCGAAATATCTTATTAGGGAGGGGGGTAAGGAATCAGGAATCTTTTTCAGTTCTATTTAAAACACAATAGATACTTCTACTTAGTGATCAGTATTGCTCACAACTCTTTGGTATAAAAAATATACCTAAAAAGTAGGTACTTGGAAACGAATACCGTAATAATTTTAATCTCCAGTCGTCAAAGAACGGTTGTAAAATATATTAACAGCTAGATTTTTACGACGAAGGAATAATTTTGTGTTATGTCCTTTAAAATTTACTTATTAAGATAAAAATATGAATATTAAAATCGCTACGCCTGTTTCCCAAAGGTGTCAATTAAAGTATACTTACACGTCAAGCACTTTTATCTAAAATGCATGCATGCATGCATGGATCTAGAGCCATGCTTACACTATCATAATAATAATAAAATGAAAATTATCTACTTCAACATTGATTTAATGAAATATTGCATGTAAACGTAGGTGTAACTCAAGCATCGATAGTGATACCAAGTTCTTAAAACATACAGCTACAAAGAATTTAGTAATATACACATTATTTTGCGTTGCCTTTGTCATACAATGTGGCGATGCTGCCAGCCTTCTGGGTACTTTCCCTATAATCGTCCATGCGGACAAATTTTTTGATGCTTACTGTAAAAGTCATTTTTAGTTTTATTTTATTTAAATGTCCCCATTCGTTTTAGTTTATGTTAATTTGTACATATTTAATTATCTCCTTACTTTTATATATCATGTAAAAAGGTGCTAAAACTAAAGATATTTTTTATTCTAATGTATGTGTAAAACCTTAAACCCTAATAAAAATAAAGGCACATTATAAGTTCATTTCAACCGACCAATTCAAAACCGTTTATTCTTATATTCCCAATTTCAGTAGCGAAACATTTATCATTATCTTCCAAACGTTTGAAAGGAATGGTAGAAACATGCATAAAGCATAAAACACTCGATTTAAGCGGAAAATTTTCGGCAAACTGTCAAACCGTTCCCAGCGGAGCTGAGCCAGAAATTTCCAGAACATGCTCGTTCGAAGGAATTCGAACATGTTTATGAAATTGGTGACTTATTGTAGTTGTTATAGATGTTATTTCGTCTTATTTCGGTATGTTTAGTGTAGGAATGTATTTGAGAGTTTTGAGACTGGTTTGTTCGGAGATCTCTCATGTTTTGATGATGGCGAATTCAATGCAGTTTATTCATGAACGAAATACTTATGGCCGTTTTTACTAATCACCCCTAAACTTTCACTTAACTAAATGTTACTTAGCTTGATCTACTACTTAAATTAAGCCCTTACTCGTACTGTTATCGCGGAGAACCTAACGGGTTACCGGGGCTCCGGCTCGAAGCGCAGGAGAAGAAACGGGGTGGTTTTTAGTTAGTAAGAGTCTGACACTTCCTCCCGCCTCACTTTCCGTCATTCGACGATATACCCCACTTAAAAAAACTCGTACTGCTAGGTGTAATTTATAGTCTGGTGAAAAACAAAACCTGCTTATCCTATCTTAGCTTAGGGTTTTTTTTAATTCATGAAAACTGGCTGTAGGTTACGTAACATCATCACTGTTACAGTAGATCAATGTAATGCCCAGTTTTTTAATGACCTTGAAGAAAATACTACCAAATAAAAACTCATACAATAATTGATATATGATTATCAATCATAGACACAAAACAAGTTGAATGAACCTCCTTTTAATAACAACTTAACAATAAAGCGAAGCTACGACCATTAAGAAATAAAAATCACTCATTATACAAAAACGAATCTTAAAAACGCGGAAATTCTTAAGCAATTAATGGAATAAAAGACTAAAATGCTAAATTCTCCTATAGTTTTTTTTTTCTCGAAATTTTCTTCGCATTCAAAACTGCTTGTAATCGCTTAATTGAAGAAAAAACGGTTCTGAAATGACAGGCTGATTTAGCGTAGCCTTACATTTTCATAGTGACTCTTATATTTCAGATCTTTCGTTATGATTTGGATAAAAATTAAAGGGTATTTTAATTTCTTTGACCTTTATTTTTATGCTGTTCAATCCCACTAATATTATATGCGAAAATTTGTATGTTTGTTTGCTACTACTTTACGTTGAATCGGCTGAAGGGATCAGGATAAGGAACAGGTTTAGATGATGGTTTGAATATCTAAGCTACTTTTTATTCTACGGACACGCAGAATGCTGCTGGCTAATGCTGCTGGCAGAGGCTAGTATGTATTTATATTTTTGTGAGATTTAGTTACGTTTTACAAAAAGGTTTTGTGTGTATTGTGGTTAAAAATCACCTAAGTTTTTAGTACATTAGATTTGAATTCATTATCAATGGTAGCTTCGGTATGACTTATACTAAACTAGCGACTCGCTCCGGCTTCGCATGGGTGTGATATGCATGTATTATACATATAAACCTTCCTCTTGAATTACTCTATCTATTAAAAAAAAATTGCATCAAAATCCGTTGCGTAGTTTCAAAGATTTAAGCATACAAAGGGACATAGGGACGTCACAATTCAACAACAATGAATCTTAAAACAAAACTAAAACTAGTCCCACAGCAGTTCAGACAAAAACCACACGTAAAACAAACTACACAAAGTATACAATACGTTTACAGCTACCAAAAACCGATGACTGGATTTTGTAGCTCAATATTTTCTCAAAGCTTATGAATATGAAATGACGTCACTGTACGCTAAGTTGCGTCGGACGGTCTGTGCGGACCTTATCTAACGAACCTTTTGTGATGGACCAAATACGCGGAGTCGACGTACCGCTGGGGTTCATGTGCATATCGATAATATGCGAAGCAGACCATTTTTTATCGATTCCAGACATTGGGAACGTTTTTTAAGGTTATTTTTCATGCAGTAGGTATGATGTTTTTTGGGCACTGACAGAGCTAAATGTGGTATTGTAGTTTCTATTATCTATTGTAGTGTAATAAAACAGTATGTTTTTATATTATTTTAATTAATATTTGATCTGATCTCGTCTTTGAACCTTGAATTTAGTATTAAACTTAAATCACTTGACGAGTCAGTGAAATTAGGAAAACGTAATCAAATATTAACATTTCTATTTTGATGTAGCAAAAAGTTCCATCTTTGAGCCCCCTCAGTAGCCTTAAGTAGCTCATCGTGTTTCCAAGTTTTTGTTTACCGAAAACAAATAATTCCCTTTACGTTTCGAGATTGATATTAAAGCGTTTGTCCTTATTAAGAAGTTAGAATTGCTCGCCTTTTGATTACGGTACCGGGAAAAGGACAGATACTTGCAAAACTCGCTTTTAAAGTAAACACTGAACATAATGAATGCTTAATCATTGGGTCAAATCAAGGATTTAATAAAGGTAATGGTGGAGTTACTTCCAAAAATCTAAGACATTTTGCTTCTAAAGGTTTCCTTCCTTTTGTGTTGTTAAAAAACTGACTGTCTTGACTGATTCATTGGCCGAGTGATTGCAAGTGCGACTGCCGGGCAAGGGATCTCGGGTTCGATCCCTGAGTCAGGCAAAGCATTACTGTGTTTTTTAAAAAGATCTTAAAAAGATCAGTAGTAGCACGGTACTTGGATTTGAGCTCGGTATATGGCATCCCCTATTACATGGGACTCATAACATAAATAGTGAAAAGTGGGTGTTACATTGTACAGTGGCATTTAGTGACATAATGTGCACCTCTGCCTACCCTTTTAGGGTTAAAGGCGTAATGTTATGTTAAAAAAATATTTAGCGACACCTACTTCGAATATCCAAATTAGAATTGATAAGAACGGAGTAAAATGTTTAGACTTTCTACTGTTCATTAAGAACAAAATAAGCTACCTACAGATAATTCAAGAAGGTTTAACAACAGCAAATACCCTTAGGACACGATGTTATTATCTTTATGTCTCTAGTTGTCACAGTTTGTTTTCCGGAGTAACAATATACTTCAAACTATTGAAACTGCCTCTCCAATTTCTTTAGAAGCCTTTATAATAAAATTAGTTAAGTATTCTATAACAACTATCGCGAAATATCTATCTATATACTCTATACGTATAATAAAATCGGGGAACGGGGTGGTTTTTAGTCAGTAAGAGTCTGACACTCCCTCCCGCCTCACCCAGGCGGGAGCAGACATTCGATGATTTTCCTCCCTTGAAAAAAAGTCTATCTATAAAATCGTAGAAAAGTCAAAAATGTACATTGAATATTTTTTAAAAGAATACTTTGAGTGTGATCTACAGTCGATATCGAAGTCAAAAATATGGATGATCTCAAAAAGTACTGCATATATTTTCTTCAAATGCATGTATATTACTAATAAGCCGGGTCATTATTACAGCTGCATAATAATTATCACGCTATCGTCTACGGGGGAGGAGCCCTATACTAGGTACTGAATCAATTCTGATGACATTCGTTACCATAGAATATTCCTTCTAATTCAAAAGCCTAAATTCTGCCAGAAGTCATTATTCTATGCGAACAAAGTCGCGGGCAACGGCTAGTATTAAAATGTTCACAGAGTATGCCCGAATGCCAAGAGGGGTTTAAAATCACTGAAGTAAGCCGTATTATAGGCAATACAGAACCATAGCACTTGACCGCCTCGTTGGCCGAGTGGTCGCAAGTGCGACTGCCGAGTAAGGGGTCTCGGGTTCGATTCCCGGGTCGGGCAAAGTATTACTGGGTTTTTGAAAAATTCTCAGTAGTAGCACGGAGTCTGGAATTGTGCCCGATATATGGCAATAGGCTCACCCCCTATTATATGGGACTTATAACATAAACAGTGAAAAGTGGGTGTTACATTGTACAGTGGTATAATGTGCACCTTTGCCTACCCCTTCGGGGATAAAAGGCGTGATGTTATGTAGAACCATAGCATACCAAATATACTAATATTTGGTCAGACCATCGTATGGCTCTGGCCTCTTGGTCTCTGTCTTTGTACTTTACAGGTCATTTAAAGCGTTCTATAATACTAGTATCTCTGCGAGCAATATGGATAAAGTATGTTTACACGACACTAGTACTAGAATCGTTTAAATGAGTGGTCCCTTAAATAATTAAGTGGTTTCTTCAAGCAGAGCCCCTGACGACAATCCTGGGTGGACCGGAGCTGTTCATCAACACGGGGAGCACCATCAACCTGACGTGCGTGGTGCAGCACTCGCCGGAGCCACCTCCAGCCATACGGTGGACTCACAATGATGAGGTAAGGACTTCTAATATTCTAGTACTGATTTTGGAACATATAACTGACTTGAAGTACAGGTTTATTTTTGGAGGTGGAGGGAATTATCGAATGACTTCTTCGGCCCGGGTGAGGCGAGAGGTCAGATTCTTATTGACTAAAAACCGTTCCTCTTTCAGCACTTCGAGGCAGAGCCCCCGCAACCCGGTTCTCCGCGGTTCCGTTAAGTTACAGTTAGCAATGATTGTCGCATTGTGAAATGACCTAAAATGTTAAATTAAGTTCCGATGTAAAACGATTTTTTTAATATATTAGTTAATTTAGACAAAATCAGTTTGCACCGCAATAATTCTAGGAATTTATAGAATCACTAGATATGTTTAATTAGATCTGGGTAATAGGTATCTATAGATAGGCCTTGTTGGCATCGAAGTTGACATCGAAAGATGTGGTTTAACTAATGTCACTTTTATTTCTGTTCTTTCATGAACACTGTTTTGGATTATCGTTCGCCTGCATAATGATATTGCCTAATTTAAAAACATCTAATTATCAAGTTATACAAAACATAGGTTTGTGTGAAGTTGATAAGTGGGATAATTTTCACTGCACTCAAAAAAAAATTAAACCAAAAATATAACATGAAAATTATCCATTTACCAATACAGTTCGTCTCACTAAAATGTTATCTATAGCATATAACATTTATTAATACACGAACAGTTTACATCTGTCCCCAATTAGCATAAATTCAGTTGTACGATATCAGTTGATTGAATCAGGCAGTATGGAACCGGCGAATAAATTTGTTGCAATTGAAACTATAGGAGCGCTGGTTGTGACCGTTTTTCATTTAAGTAGAGTTTCATTACTATTGCAATTTTGATATATCAGTAAAGTTTAGTAAAAAGCATCGTAGATATTTAAAAAGTATATTTGCCCTACATTAAGATTTTCTCTTGTGCCGTTTCTCATTGTAGGGTGCGTTTCATCATCAACAGCCTATAAATGCCCACTGCTGAGCAAAGCCTCTTCTCACACGGAGAAGGTTAGAGCATTAATCACCACGCTTGCTCAATGCGGGTTGGCGATTTCAAACTTATAATTAGAAATTATAAGTCCAGGTTTCCTCACGAAGTTTTTCCTTCACCGTTTGTCAGTGGTGTCTAAATAATCTTAGAAAGTACATATAACTCGGAAAAAGTCACATTGGTACTTGCCGTTGGTAGGTTTCGAACCCGCACCCTCATGCATGAGAAGTGGGCGTCTTAAACCTCCGGGCCACCACGACGTCCAGGGTGCGTTTACAAACATACAATTTCACATACTCGGAACAATATATACAAACAAAGAATTTATTATTCCGTGTGGAAATCGAATTCGCGACACGCGTCAGCCAGTTGCCTAGCTTCTGTGTCTTCCATGCTTTTTTATAGCATTTATAAGCCAGTAAACGGGCAGGCGAATCACCTGATGGTAAGCAATCGGCGCCGCGCATGGACACCCAAAACACCAAGGCGTTACAAGTGCATTACCAGCTTTTTGAGAATTTGAGGATTGTGGAGAATACGGGGATTTGGGAGACTAGGGAGGGGGGTGATTGGGCCTCCGGTAACCTCACTTACACGACGAAACACTCAAGCGTTGCTTCACGTCGGTGCTCGGTATTGTGTGATGCTATCTTTATTTCTGACATTTAGAAACAATATCCTAACTAATGATAACTTTACGTATGTGTTAGATCCTGTCTTTCGCTAGTATCATACATGTGCCATGTTTCTGGTTGTGTATACTGGAACATTTGAGCCAGTTCCTATGACAAAGGAGTCAGTAATTGCTTCTAGAGGTTGTTAGATCACTTTAGACATTGAGATCTGCCCAAAATTCCAGATACACCTTTGAAAAACGAATTTTGGGATGACTGCAGAAGAATATGACGAGCTCTTGGTAAAAAATTTCATTTTTAAATTTGATTAGTTTGTTGACTGCCGCGTTGGCCGAGTGGTTATAAGTGCGACTGCTTGGCAAAGGGTCTCGGGTTGGATTCCCGGGTCAGCCAAAGTATTACTGAGTTTTTTTTTTATTAAAGAGTCCTGACTTGTGCCCGGTATATAGCAATAAACACACCCCCTATTACATGGGACCCACAATATAAATAGTGAACAGTGGATGTTACATTGTAGATATACAGTGGCATTAAATGCCGTAGGTAATATGCACCTCTGCCTACACTTTCGGGGATAAAAGGCGTGGTGTTATGTTATGTTTTGTTTGTTACCGATAACTGATTTATGGATACTTTCATTGATAACGAAATCCTATTTCTAAGTCTAGTCTAAACTATATTAATATTATTAAGAGGAAACGTGTAGTAACCGTTTTAGTAACCATACTCTCTATTTCAAACCAAATAATTATAACATTTATAAATCTGACCCAAAAACAAGGCAACGTGACGGTGACCCTTAAAATCCCATGATTTTGTACCGAAGGCTAGGCGTCAGCAAAATTATCTCCACTGTCAACAGCCCGACAAGATATATAACGTTGTTCAGAAAAAATGGCCGCAGCTGACAACGGAGATTTTCCTGTAAAAATAAGTTCATTGCATTTTTTAATGGTAATGGGTTTTGAGGTTAGTAAAAATTTTTAAGTCAAGTTATTTTAACAAGTCAAAATCATCATAACATCACATTACGGCACTTAATGCCACTGTACAATTTAACACCTACTTTTCAATATTTATGTTATGAGTCCCATGTAATAGGGGGAGCCTATTGCCATATACCGGGCACATATCCAGACTCCATGTTACTACTAAGATTTTTAAAAACCCAGTAATACTTTGCCCGACCCGGGAATCGAACCCGAGACCTGTTGCCCAGCAGTCGCACTTGCGCCCACTCGACCAACGAGGCAGTCAAGTCAAAATCATTTAGACCAGAAAGGCGCCTTTGAACACAAACGGCAACATAAAATTAAAATTGAACCTATTTCTACACTAAAATACAGTTTATTGCCTCGTTAGTCGACTGACTACTATAAGGTTTTAAACATAAGTACAGAATTCGTGGAATAGTTATTAAAATACTGTGAACTTGGTTTCTCATAACATATTTCTGATTCGAGTTCACCTTCCACATTAATTTGTTTATTATATTTCAACTTATCAAAGAAATACATGAACTAAAACTTTGTAAAGTTGGTTAACCTATAATTGGCGACTGTATAAGCCCAATACCTATTGTTACCTTTATTATCTCTTAATACTTGTATACAGAAACTATTTAAATAAATAAATAAAAATAATAACAAAACTATTGTACAATCTCTATGATTACAATGATAATAAAAAGTAAGATTAAATATTCACAATTTTACAAATAAATTAATATTATGTATAAAAAAACAGAAATAAATAAAAATAGTTCTTGAAAAAAAATGTTGCCATAGTTATATCAATTGCTCCTTTTAATAAATTAAAAGGAAGGACCAAATTAAAGGTACCCTTTACCGACGAGCATGCTCGAAACGATTGATAACTGTTGATGAAGCGAAAGAGGTATGTAGGAATCGTAGCAATTTGCGTCCCTTAGTCTTTGCCTACCATGCACAAATAAACATTCATACAGGTCCAACTGAGAACCAAAAAAGGTTATCAGTTTAATCTGGTTTGAAGTCAGTTAAAAACACCTTACGGAAAGCTTAAAGATGCTCTCCCAAGCTCAATACAAAATACAACGTTTGTGTTTGGGTGAAACTTCGTGTTTGCGATGGCAACGTAACAAATTTAGCTTCGCGCACCAAATTGAGGGATCGACGCCTCTCTGTCGCCTTATTTAAACGTTTCTTCTCTATTTCCACGAGCTTTGAGTGTAAATTCTAACTATATTAAACTATTTGCTTTGTTGTTAAGGCCATTCTGACCTTTTTCTTGGCCTTTATCCAACTGAATTGGGAATTGTATAGATTTTTAGCAGATTCGAAAATAAGTGTTCTGTATTGTAGCGATATTATGCTTTTTATTTTGGTAACAAACAGCATTCGGTAGGAAACATATGTGTCAGTATTTTTGGAAAAAAACAATGCATGTATAAAGTGTTGTTATGTATTGTTCCAAAGTTTGGTGCATGTCCAAAAATTCGAACTGTATATATAAACATTAAAACTTAGACTCTATGCCAACCTAAACGATATAATTCATGTTTAAAACTTCATCCTAAAAAAGAAATTGTCTATTTACTGACATAAAACGTAACATCGCGCCTTTTATCCCAGAAGGTGTAGATGGAGGTGCACACAACGGCACCTAATGCCACTGTACAATGTAACACCCACTTTTCACTATTAATGTTATGAATGTCATGTAATAGGTGGTGAACCTATTGCCATATACCGGGCACAATCCTAAACTCCGTGCTACTACTGGGAATTAAAAACAACCAGTAATACATTGCCCGCACTTGCGACTACTCTGCCAATAAGACAGAGATCTATTTACTTACTTATATTTACAGATTATGTACAACAAGAATATCTAAGAAAAAAAATCCTAATACAATCAAATCAATCTCCCGATCCCATCTTGTTCTACATTCCAAATTCTATTTACTCTTCCTATTCTGATTAATACAAATATGAGAGCAAAACTAAATCTAAAGCTTACCATTTGATATAACTCTGTAAATCCTTCATCGTATAACCTTCTTATTAGTATTCAGAAGGGGCGCAGTACAAATGTGCGTCGAGTTTGTACGAAATTGAGCGATCGTACGCCACGCCACTTTGTGCTGTTATTTCAAAAGAGACGTTTAAATTTAAGTGTAGCTTAAGCGATGATGCCTTGGTACTTTAAAGTTGATATAAAAGGGCCGTTAGTAGATTTTATGAGGTTCTGTTCTGTTTAGGTTTTTTTTATGATGTAAGAAATGATATATTTTTGGTAGATATTGTTAGTTATGACTAGATGTGCTATGTCAAGCGTTGAACAGTATGAGTTTTGTTAAATCAAATCAAGTGCC